GAAATTGCGAAAGAGTTTGTTGATTGGAAAGTAACACGCTTTTGGAAAAACTAAACGTTTTTGGACGTTTTCCCAAACTTAATTTCAACTAAAAGATGTTAGCAAATTCACCCAAACATAAAAAGATGTGGATTTACATTTTTTGTCTTTAAAACCCCGTAGAATGTAAAACAAAATTTCCTTTATTATACATTTTAAGCAAAATCATAAGGTTTTATTCTAATTCAAAATCATAAGGTTTTATTCTAATTCACCCTCAAAGTACCTACCAACTAGTATTACCCCAACCCAACTCTATACAATTTTTGTTCCAACAGAACGAAATGAATGTTGGTCTCTTTTTGAAAATAACAGCGTTGAAATACGACAATCGTTAAGCCTAGTATCAAAGATGTTTGATAAACATTCTTTAAAAGTAAAAAAGCAGCAAAAAAGTTGGTTCTTTAACATCAGAAAGCGCGTTATTGGTAATCGATAAAACATGGCTGAGGAAAAAAGATGTGACGTTTTTTGGCGACAAAATAATTTGAGGTGTATGTTCTTCCATTGTTTAACCAATTACTTTAAATACATTAACTTTTTATTTGTTTATTGCAAAAACTAAAACTACAGCTTAACAATAGTACTAAAAATATTTTTTTGAAATTTGATTCAAAAATTAAGGTCCTTTTATAATCCAAATATTTTTGAGAGTATTTGGTGTTTTTTTAATATAATAGCTGAATTAGTTGTAGCATTATATAACCCTAGTAGTGTGCATTATTTTGTATAGTGAGCGTTGATCACACAAAAAACATGTCTTCAACCAACATCTTCACTGAAAAAAATAAGGATCCATCAAAAACTGCTACAGAACTTTATCTTGTTTCTCCTCAAACCAACTCTTATGTTACTTAACTCAACAAATATTACCAACTGTTTACACTTAAAACTTCAGTTGTTTGTTAAAATAAACACGTAAAGAACTTGAAAAAAAAAATAAATGCATACTGACCAAAAAAAAAATTTTTTATCAATATTTAAAATTTCCTGAAACACGGCTATTGTTCATGATAAAATCCCACCTGAAAATACAATTTTCAACTGTCCTCAAAATTATTGTTTAAATAAGAAATTAGAAGTGTTGAAAAGTGTAAATGATAAAACTTAAGTTGGCATAATTATAAAACAAAAGAGAGAATTTAAACATTAAAGAATTATGTAAAAAAACTAAAACAAGTCAATTTAGAAATAAATGTAGAATTTTAAAATATAAAAAAGACTTTATTAATCTCCAATAAGAAAATAAAAGAATAAAAAAAACTTTACTTGAACTCCATTTAAAGACAAAAACATTAAATAAATTGGTAAACTACAAAATAAAATAGTAGATAGACTTGATCAAAAATTATAAATCTTCAAGACATTATCAAAAATCATATTGATATATATTTTGTCTGATTTTTTTAATATATATATATATATATATATATATATATATATATATATATATATATATATATATATATATATATGTAAATATATATATATATATGTAAATATATATATATATATGTAAATATATATATACATATATATATATATATATATATATATATATATATATATATATATATATATATATATATATATATATATATATATATATATATATATATATATATATATATATATATATATATATATATATATATATATATATATATATATATATATATATATATATATATATATATATATATATATATATATAGTTTTAAGATGTAGTTTTTTTATTAATAACAAGTAAAAACTAAAAAACAGGGAGGGGGGTTTAACAACCATGGGATGGGTGGGAAAAAGTTTCAAAAATTAAAAAATATCCTCTCCCGTGTATTAAGCGTGTATTAATTTTTTAATATTATAAATATTCACTTAGGTGCAGTTTTTAGAATCAATGTAATAGAATAAATATTTCGAAATAATTTTTCAGAATTTCGAAAATAATAGATTGTTTCGATACCGTTTTCATGATTTCGATAATATAAAAATATTTCGAAGCAAATTATAGAGATTCAAAAGTGAAAAATTGTTTTGGTAAATTTTTGATAATGTAAATATATTTTAGTACATTTTCAGAATTTCAACAGCGAAAAATAGTTTCGGAGCCATTTTTAGGATTTCGATAATTTAAAAATGTATCGATAGAATCTCGTGAATTTCGAAAAGTGAAACTCATTTCGGTTCAAAGTTAAGCAATTAGAAATCGTATTAAACTTACCCAAATAAAAATAAACATTTCGAAAAGGTTTTTTTTTAATTAACTTTTGCAAAAGTAACAACTCTAGAAAGTTTTATTTTAACGCTTGCGTTAAAAACTGCCGTTTTAATTTTAACCAGCTGATAGCTTTTCGTTGAGAGAAGTACGAATGCTAAGCGATCCTAAACTATTAGAGAAAATATTTTTTTAACTGCTTCAATAGTTAAAAAAAAACCTTTATAATGTTTGTTTATAGATTTCCTTGTGGTATACCACAAGGAAGTATACTAAGCAGATAAATTTTGATTATATTTTTAATTTGTAATGTAACGTTATTAACTGTAACTAATGTATTAACTATAGTTGACTTTAATATATATTTTTTAATATATCATAACCTTTTGTTTAGAATAACATAAAATATATATAGGGTATTTTTTTATATATTTATTTATTTAAGGTGCCCCAAGAAGTCTTTACGGTCTCTTCACAGAGCACCGCGGAAGAGCATTCGAAAGAAAGTTCACGCCTCCTTCCTTGAGTTAGCGTTAAACCACGGATCTCTAGCTTCTGAGGCAAGTGCGCTAACCACTGTGCTACGGCTGCTCATACCTGGGTAGACGAGGACTAGAGGGGCTTCTCTTTTTATTTTACACATCTATCTGATCCCCATCTTTTCTGTATATTCCAAACGCAGGACATTGTCAATCCTTTTTGCCCTTATACACTTTATCATTGCCATTAATCCTAACATTTTTTAATATTTTGCAGTTTATGAAAAATTCAAGTTTTAAAGAAATTTTTAAAAACAATGTGTACAATACATAATCCAAATCTAATTTTTATGTAGATTTATTACAAAGATGAATCCAGAAAAGGGAAGAAAAATTAATTTTATTTTAGATGAGTTAAGTACTTATGACTAAATTGATCCCCAGCTTTTTTTGAGTTCTTTGACATTCATGTCATTATAATTTATTATTTCACAAGTAATTTTTAATATTGAATCACATTTTAATCAAAATTTTCAATTGCTCTTTAACTTTGTAATATGGTTTGAGGAAGAACAGTGTTGCCTTAAAATTATGTCGAATGCTGTATTAACTATTCTGTGTAAAATGCATTAGGAATATCTACAAAAATGTAGAAACCGTGTATTGTAGTGCTATCTGTTTGCTGACAATCATTTTCCGTTAACTTGTGCGGAAAAAGTTAAATACAGAAACCGTTATTTTTACGGAAAGTGCTGTCTCTTAAGAGACAAGGGCAACAAAGATTTGTTGCCTTACTTTCTCCGTTAATTTGTACGGAAAATAGAAACTTCGGAAATTTTTATGGAGAAAGTACTGTCACTTTGCTCTATGACTTTCTCCGGTAAATCTACGGAAAATTTTTTAACAATGTTCAAAAAACAAGTTTATGCTGAGCAAGTAAACTATAAATTGCTATAACAATAAAATGTGTTTTGTATAAAATCACATTTTCTTATTTTTTTAAACCAATTCTTAAATGCTATATTTGTCATTTTATTATTTTATTAAATTTTTTTCTTTTATTTTACAAAACAATTCTTAAATCTTGTTCTTGAAAAACTATGAGTTTTGAACGCTAAGCTATATATTTACATTTTCTTTTATATTATTAATTCAGAGATATATATGTTACGCACAGATCGTAAAATCGCGCATTTGTGCGATTTGAAAATTGCAAGTTTTTGCTCATTTCGTGAAATGGATAGCGCTGTTGAGCAGATTGTGAAATGTTAAACATGTAAAAATTCAAAATTTCACAATCTGCGCAACAGCACTATCGATTCCACGAAATGAGCAAAAAATTGCACAGTTCGTGAAATGCGCGATTTCACGATCTGTGCGTAATATATACATTAAAACTATACTCAATTGTTAAAATATATTTTACCTACTAATGACGCATTTTTTGGTGCTTAAGGATAAGACTAAGCTTATCTTCTTCTTGCTCTAGTCATGTAATTATTTTTTATAAGTTACGACTGTAAATTTTTGTTATTGGCAAAAAGTATAAATATACATCTAAAAAAGTAAACAATTGGAAACATTAGCTTTTATTAATTTTTTTTTTTTTTGTAAAAATGTTTTTATGTAAGTTAAAGCAAAAGTTAATGTTGGCATTTGTTTACATGTCTCACTCGTCTCATCATAAATGATTTGTAAGTATATAACAATTTTAAAAATTTATCATTATATTTTAAAACTTATTTAACATTCATAACGTGCCATAAGATTTTTCTTCAAACCAACTTTATTACAAAACTATCATTAATAAAGAAAATTCAGATAGACTATGAGTAATGAATCATTGTCAAGCTATGAATACTCACAACTATTTTAGGAATTACATTAGAAACAATTTAAGTACCATCGTAAAATCAATATAAAAACTTGTATTTACTATTGATTTGCTAATTTTATATTGCTATAATTGCTATATTTACTATTGGTTTTATGCTAATAATACACTGCTTCATCGATTTTATCATCCATTCAAAAGTGTTTATTTATATTTTTAAGCTTATGAAAACATGTATATTTAAGAATCAATATATTTATTCGCACTATAACTAAGAATAGAATTTGCACCTATAAAGTATAAAAAGTGGTTAAAAATTAAGGATATAAAAATGCCAAAAAAAGTTTCAAGTTTTATATATATATATATATATATATATATATATATATATATATATATATATATATATATATATATATATTAACACTAGCAATTTATAAAACAACTTGAAGCATAAACTTGTTTAGGCAATTATGTTATGTTATTACATTTAATCATTGTTTTCTTTTTTTGCATTTTACGATTTGGTTAAAGAGAAGAGCATACATTTTTTTAATTTTTTTGTTTCGGCCAATATATATCAAAGCATTGAAGGCAGAGTTCAACTCACATACAAAGAGTGTCCACATAAAGGGTTTTATTACGTTTTGCAAATCGGATTTATTATCTTTTGATGCAATTATGGCGGTATAGAAGTTCGTAATTACTGATGGAGCATACGTTACAACTAGAGTTATTGAAATAAACATAATAGTTACCGTTAGACGTCTTTCTATTTGGTTCTTTTTATGAACTCGAATATTGCATTCACCCAACCTTTTTAAAGTGCTTCTAAGCAATGTTGTATTAACTATTATCACTGCAGTCAATATAAATGTTGTGTAAGTTGCAACGCTGAAAAAGAAAATAGACATACGATAAACGTTTGTTGATCTAACAATATCAATTGCATACCAAAGACTAAACATCATCGATGCAATAAAATAGAATACGATACCAGAAACCAAATAAATTTCTTTAACATAAAAGCCCCATATTCGGTTATTGTAGAAGACAGCAATATATTGTTCTATAGATATTAAGAGTACAATAGATCCAGAGAATAACAATAAAAAAACGTGCCAAAATCCTCTGGCAGAAATAAGTGCGCAACCAAGTGTTTTAAGATTTTTTACCAATATTATTTGTAATGGTTCGTGTATCAGTGCAACTAAGACATCACTACAAGATAATAAAAATACTAGTTTTTCGTTTCTCGTGTAACTCTTTTTTCCTTTTGAATATATTAACCCGAATGCAACGGCAACATTTGATATAAGTATAAATAAAATGTTAATTGCACATAAAACGGTGAAAATAGTGACATTATTACCAGTCGCTACTGTATAAAAAAGATGCCTACATACTTCGTTATCTTGAATGGAATTTGTTTCTCTATGATTAAGCGTGCTAATCATTTACAAGAATGTAAACATTCATTTCGAAGATTTTTTGATAGTCGTCTATTATAAAAATTACTAAAATTAAAAGTATTACATCATTTTAAATAGCCTTCAAAGTTTCAAACAAAAGTATACCAATTTTTTTTTTTTTTTTTTTTATAAGCCACATATTTAAAGCATTAGTTATACTTCCTTATGCAAAAACGACAACTATCTTTACCGCAATATTTTGCGCTAAGTTCTATAGGTTTGTGTTAAAGAAATAATGAACTTTTTAACAAAATCTTAAATTTTTCAAATCTTGGAAAATTGATTCAAAAATTAATAAGCATGTTTTTCTAATAAAAATTACAAAAAAGTTAATGCTATAAACATTAATTTGTAGTACGTTTACAAAGTTTACAAAGTCCCGTTTAATAACAATACTTATTTGATATGTTTTTCTTTAAAAATTTCAAACGTCATCTAAGGAATAACAAAACAAAGGAGTTTTAAATTTAAATTAAAAGAAACAAATAATTTTGAGCTCGTTGATTATTAATTGCTTTATTTGTTATTATTAGTTATAATTTTATTATTTTATTATTATTTATTTATTTATTTATTCTAATGTAGGTAGTGAATTAACAAGCATTAACTATTTTCTAAATTTCCGAAGTAGCGTTTTTAAATTACTTTAATGCGCGGAAATTTTAAACCATACAAAAAAAAAAAAAAACATTTTTAAATAAGCGTATATAAAGCAGCTGTTATTATTCTGAAAATTTATTCCTGTTGTATTTTTTTTTTTTTTTTTACGTATTTATATGTCTATAGTTTAGTGCGGTATCAGTACAAGCTCTATATTTCTTAACTAACAAGAGTGTAAGCAGCCGTGGTGTAGAGGTAAAAAAAAAAAAGTCATTCTTATCATTTTGATGCAATTTAGTAAAAAGCACCACACTTAGCATTAAAACTATGCCTGATATATTATATATATATATATATATATATATATATATATATATATATATATATATATATATATATATATATATATATATATATATATATATATATATATATATATATATATATATATATATATATATATATATATATATATTATTCAGAAACTGATCTGAATGTTCTTGGTTATCACGATGATAATCCTAAAATAGCACCAGCTCGTCTTCTGCTCATATGTTGAGAAAAAACTAAGAAACAAAAGTCACCACCTAAAACTTGGATATAGATTATAAAAAAGCAGCTGATCAGCCGTATAAAAATAAAAAAGGAAAATGTTTCATGCAAATCTGTAATCAAAAAGTAAGACTGTTAAATTTTTGTAAATTTAAACACATACAAATTATCAGTGATGAAAAATGAACGCGTATATTTGCTGATTTTTAGTTTGTGATATGTTACCCAAAAATCAGAGTGATTTAACAAAAATTTAAGACCAGGGAATTTTAGTATACAAGAAGTTGATAATATCCACAGTCAAACCGATAGAGGACTCGCTCCTGTTGAAATATTAAACCCCCTTGGTTTAATCAGAGCAATTCCTGCTCTTCAAAAAAAAAATTCTTTCTACTAAATAGAGAAATTGAATTTCAAACATTTTTTAGCTATTGCAGGCTTTTTTAATTTTTAATGGCAGAGGTACTAATGTTTTCTGCCTTGAAAAAATGGTGTTCAAATTTTAAATTATAACATTAGTACCTCTGCGATTAGCCCAATGTCCTTTAAAATCTGTTCAAGTATATGCTTGCTGTAAATATTGCATATTTATAAGAGTATTTTATAATAATTTTTTGTATTGTCAAAATATATATGTTTTATACGTTACATTGTTAAATGGATTTCTTACTGAAATTTATATTTCTAATGGCCTTACCAGAGGTGCTGGTTAACTAATTATTCTTTAAGATATCTTTTTATTGTGCAATGTATTTTAGTTCTAAACATTTTTCATGTTATGATTTTAGAACTTATAACTAAAGTTTTGTTTCGTTGTAAAGATCTTGGTACATACTTTAGATAATATATTTCTTATCTTCTCTGTTGAATTGAATTTTAGACAAAAAAGCGTGTTTATATTATTTGTTAATTAATGAAAGAAAAGATTTTTTTTCTAATAAAACAGATATGTACCTTACTTTTATTGCCAAAATATACATTCATCTTGCCACAATATATATAAAAAATACTACTTTGTATTATATTTTTAAACAGAAAATGAAGATAGAACAAAATAACACTGTATTTTATAAAATAAGTGTGTGTTACATTTCTCCAATTCAGGGTGTAGTAATTCAGACACATTCAATTTAAATATCTAAATACAATTCCTTTAAGACTGTGGTAGCCTGTATAGGAAAGTAATACAAATTGGTTTTGTTTAAGTTTTTTATTTTATTTGGTCTGCAGGTCTAATTAAATAATTGAACTTGATTTTCTTGGTACGGAAAAACATGGAGATAGAACAAAATAATTCTAACCTCGCGATATGGTAACTTTACTGGCGTGGTAGCGTATGCTGATAATATTATACTTTTAAGCTCAACTCTATCTGGTCTAGAAAAATTAATCAAAATTTATAATGTATACTGCAATTCATATTGCATAAAACTAAACCCTGATAAAACAGAGTTCCTCCTGATAGATAAAAGAGAGTTACAAAGTTGCTCAATATCTTTCGATGGTCATCAAATAAATTTACACAAAAGACTTAAACATTGCTGAAAAAATATCTAATTTCAGGGCAGCTCTGCAAACTCTTATCCAATCTGGAATCCGTTTTGCTCATCAAAAATTCATCACACAATTTCACACGAAACAACTTTTTAAAGAAATGAATATTTTAAATGTATATCAACTAAATGTCTTTAATATTTTATGTTTCATGTTTAAATGTAGAGAAAATTTGTCGCCAAATGTATTACAAAATTTTTATTGTATGAAACCTAAAAACAAATATAATTTTCGAATTACAGTCTTATTGCCCCTTTTTGTCGTAAAAGCAAAGACCAGTTTTTTGTTTCTTACCGAGGTCCTTATCTCTGGAACAAAATAGTCTTACAAAATTTTGATTTTTCAACCCAAATGCTTCATTCAAACAGAAACTTAAAAAAATTATATTTTAATTGAAAATATATTGATTTATTTTTAATTGCCTTTTTTGTTTTGTTTTGTTTTTGTTGTTGTTTTATTTTGTATATTATTTGGTTTAAAATTTTATCTTGACTTTTTAACATTTTATCTTGGTTTTTAAATATTTTTGCATAGAGGTGTATTATTATTTCACTACAGACATTGTATTTTTATTAAAAGTTAACCATATATTGTAAAGGGCTTCATGACAAGATCCTCATGATCTTCTAGAAGTCCTGTCGTTACTAATGTAAAAAAATTGTAAAATATACTTAGTTATTGTAATATTAAACGGCAAAAAAATAAAAAAATAAAAAAATATCAAACCTTGATAGTACCAACATTAAATTACGGTCTAGAACTTTATAAAACCAATGACTTAACAACGCAAAACCTAGACAGAATCGGAAGGAGCGCATTAAAATTGTTTTTCAACCTTTCAAAACATTGCAAAAATTATTTACATCTGTTATTTAAAATTCAAGACATATCAAAATGTGTTCACCAAAATAAACTGAACTTATTTATTCGTCTTTTGGATAACAAATCGACGAATAAATAATTTAATTAAAAATAAATTTTTAAAAGCTTTTGGTTTAATTTATTGTTATATTTTTTTAATCTTTTTAAATTATTCGTTAAAAATGGCTACGCATTTTGAAAATTTAAAATCTTTTGAAGAAAACATAAATATTTTTCAAGAAACTCAAATTAACTTAATTGACACACGATATGTTGATCCTTTTGATTTTAAAACAATAAATGATCATTGTTCTTTTTCAGTTTTACATATAAACATTAGAAGCATGCAGCAAAACTTTGAGAAACTATAAGAATTTTTAAATATTATAAATTACACGTTTGACGTTATAGCTCTTTCAGAGACTTGGCATGATTTTGAAAATTCTCTTGAATTAAATTCTATTTATAATTTGCCATTTTATAAACTTATAAGTCAACCAAGAAAAAGTGGAAAAAAAGGTAGAGGGTTAGGGCTTTATGTCTCAAAAAAGCACGATTTTAAAATGAAAAATGTATTAAGCTTCTCAAATGATAATTACAAAAGTCTATTTGTTGAAATCATAAACAAAAAAATTCGAAATGTTTTAATTGGATGCATTTATCGTCCACCAAGTGGTAAAGTCAAAACATTTAAAACTTTTATCAAAATTACAATTGAAAAAATAAATAAAGAAAATAAAACTTTTTACGTTATTGGAGACATAAACCTTGATGCTCTAACTTGTTCAAAATTTCAAAAAACAAAATCCTTTTTTGATATGCTACTTAAATTTAATGTCTTGTCAGCAATTAATAAGCCAACACGAGTGACAAAAACCTCGGCAACGGCAATTGACAATATTTTCATTAATAATTACCTGGAAATGGAACTTGAAACCGGGATATTCATGACTTATATTAGTGATCACTTTCCGATATTTATAAAAGTAAGAAATTTAAAAACCATGTCTGATTATGAACCAAAAGTTATAAATTTGAAAAAACGCAATCTTAAAACAAGTAACACTAATGAATTATCAATCAGACTAAAACAAGAAACGTGGTCCAACGTGTATATATGTCAGGACACCAACGAAGCTTTCAATAATTTTTTAGATATATTCCTAGATTGCTTTAATAAAACCTGTCCTCTAGAGGGCATAATAATTAAGACAAAAACAGTTTCTAATCCGTGGATGGATAAATCACTGATAAAATGCTCAAAAAAGAAGCAAAAACTCTATAATAAATATCTTAAAAATAAAAACACTGATAACGAGAAAAATTACAAAAATTATAAATATTTTTACCAAAATCTGATTAAAAAGGCAAAAAATAAATACTATAGTAATGAAATCATTAAATGCAAATCTGATAGTAAGAAAACGTGGTCCGTCATTAACAAAATAATAGGACGGAAAAAAATAAACACAACTTCTTTACCAAAAAGAATTAATATTAACAATACAGACATATTCTGTGAAAAACAAATATCCGAAGAATTTAACAAATACTTTATAAATATTGGTCCAAATCTCGCTAATAAAATAAATCCAACAACTGATTCATTTAAAAATTATCTAAAACCCACAAATAAAGCCATCATGTACGATAAAGAATTTGTATATGAAGAATTTGAAGAAGCCTTTTCCTCTTTAAAAAAAAAGAAAGCACCTGGATTTGATGAAATAACTAGTGATTTTAATTTAATGAAATTTATTTGATGAAATAACTAGTGATTTTGCTAATTTAAGTACATCTGGGCTTTTCCCTGATGTACTTAAATTAGCAAAAGTAATCCCTATATTTAAATATAATGAACATTCGGACATAACCAACTTTAGACCTATATCAATACTTTCTGTTTTTTCAAAACTCTTCGAACGTGTAATTTATAATAGAATCTATAATCACTTTACCAAAAACAAATTATTTTACCCAAACCAGTTTGGATTTCAAAAAAACCTTTCAACAGAGCATGCAATTATTGAATTAGTTAATCAAATAACCGATGGTTTTAATCAAAACAAATTTACTTTAGGAGTTTTTATTGACTTATCAAAAGCTTTTGATACAGTTGACCACTGCATCCTATTAGATAAACTAAAATACTATGGTATAATTAACAAAACTTACAATTGGATTAAAAGTTATCTTACCAATAGAAAACAATATGTGTGCAATATACAATCTGGAGTATTAAATGTTTTATGTGGAGTTCCCCAAGGATCTATCCTTGGTCCACTTCTGTTTCTAATTTATATAAATGATTTTGGCAATGCATCTTTAAAACTAAATTCAGTCATGTTTGCTGACGATACAAATCTATTTCTTACTAACAGTGATATCAAGAATCTATATGCACACAAGAATATCGAACTAATTAAAGTAAATAATTGGTTTAGAGCTAACAAACTCTCGCTTAACTCAGAGAAAACAAAATATATATTATTCCATAAAAAGGCACACGAAGAAAACCTTCCTCTTAAGTTGCCTGACCTTATCCTAAATGATAACTTAATTAAAAAACAAGCCAGCATTAGATTCTTAGAAGTTCTTGTTGATGAGAAGCTATCCTGGCTTCCTCAAATAAGATATATTCAATCTAAAATCAGTATTATAATTGGTATGATGTATAGAGTTCGCTCATATATCAATAAACAAAGTCTAAAACTAATTTACTTTGGACTAATTCATTGCTTTATCAGCTATGCAAACATATCATGGGCAAGTACTCAGCCATCAAAACTTAAAAAAATTTATAGTCTACAAAAACACGCATGTAGAATCATTTACTTTAAAAATAAGCGGGAGCATGCAAAACCTATCATGAAAGATATGAAAATGATGGATGTTTTTGAAATAAATATCTATCAGCATTTAATTTTTATGTATCAATTTAATAATAATCTCTCTCCTAGAAACTTTACTAACAAGTTTGAAATAAACATAAATGAAAACTACTATCTAAGAGCAAATATAAGTAACACATATAAACTGCCTCAAAACCTTAATAAATATACTGAATATAGCATTGCATATCGGGGGGCAAATATATGGAATAGATATCAAAAAGGATCCGAATGTATGGCAAAGTCATTAAGTTCATTTAAGTTTCTGATAAAAAAAGAAATTTTTAAAATTTGATTATTATTTGTGCTTAAAAGGATTACAAAGTAATTTTCTTTATAATCTTATTTATTTGTTTTTATTGATCAGCGCAGCAGTTTTATGCCCATTAGGGTTTTTAATTTAATTTAATATCAATAACCTAACGAAAATGTATATAGGGGGCTCTATGAAAAGATTGCGATGACGTTTTGTCATTTTCATCTTCTTTGAGCGTCTGATGTTTAACTCTTTATTTTATAAAGATCATTGTAAAAAAGTATAGTTTATTTTATATACTGTATAAACAAAAACGGTGCTTGTTGACAAGATTTTACTGTCTTCTTTGTTATACGGACATATTTCTTTCTTTCTTGTATATATATGTGTTGATTATATTTGTTAAACAGCAAAATAAATGTAAAAAACAAAAAAAAAAAAAAAAAATAATAATAATAATATGATTCAATCTCAGCTTAAAAATCCGAAGGTAAAACAATCTTCTGTAGATAATGTACAACAGGTGTGCCATATTAGTGGACTAAGTTTTGAAAAATTAAAGAATGAAAAAAATAGAATAGGTTTTATGGTGGTGGGGCATAAAATCCCAAAAGATATTGAGAAAAATTTGAAATATTCATTAGATTGGTAGAACATAAAAGAACAGAGAAACATTTTTACGCAAACTCTATAAGAAAACATTCCAAAATGATTTCTTTTCATCCTTTCAAAGTTTAAACAATTTTTTTTGTGTGTACTATTACCTTTTAAAAATATTTTACAGTAGGTGATTAAGAAAATAATAATAGTAATAACATGCACTTATAATTTTGCAAAACCCTATAATAATACTAAACTTAATAGCAGTTGCGCTTTCGAGACTGTTTGACACGGTACCCTTGGCAGCCATTCAAGCGAGGTAATGGCGAGAAAGAGTTACAGCAGCATTGTATTATAAGAAAACGTGAACAAACGTGTATCCAAATATCTAACGTAAGTAAACTTTAAATTTAGTAATGTTAAAATACATGATAAAACATACTGAAACATTTATCAAGTTTTACAGTTTGATTTTCACATGAAAATTAAATTGAGTCAAGCTCTTCTTAATTTTAATCAATAAAATTTTTTCCCTTAAAAAATTCATTATATTGTTTTAAAAATATTCGCTTGAGAATATGCCAGTGTGGCCGAGTGGATAAGCCGCCGAGCTTCTGAACAAGAAGGCGAGGTTCGATTTTTGCCAATAGCCATCTTTTTTTTTTCAATTTTTCAATTTTTCGATTAATTTAAAATACAAAATATTTTTGAAGTTATATAGTGATTATATACAAACATATGTAACAATATTATACACTCTTACAAAAGAAAAGATTTTAAGAAAGAGGCTGTCCATAAATGATGTCAGTGATTTTCTCAAAATATGCTATTTCTATTCCACATTGTAGATGTATATAACTTTAGAATCTGCTCATATAAACTTAATTTTTTTAAAATTGAAATCATTTTGATCTTAACGCACCCTCCCCATTGTCAATTTTTGTCAAACTTTTCAGTACCCTCTCCCCTATATTACTGACATCATTTTTGGATAGCCCTTAAGCAATAATTTCATAAATTATCAAAAAAATCTTCACTGGGAGAAAAAAATTGTTGCGTATGTGTCATGATTGAGATACTTACGTTATAAATGTGCTCAGTTAATTATTCCAAATAAGCTGCGGACGGTCTAAAAAAAAATTGTCGGAAACTTAATAAAGAATACTGCTACTCAAGAAGGTGCTGCTGTGGAGGCGAAAAAAAAAAAAAGTCAAAACTAGCTTATTTTGTAAAAAAATCAAATTTATTTTCTTTACTTTCAGGCGTTTTGAAAAATGGCTGCAGT